AATATGCATTATGCATAGATATGTAATACGTATGTTTTTAAGTACGATTTATTTTTATTCAAATAGAATTTTGAATGCAACAATGTGGCGGTCACTTTAATAACTCGAAAAGAACTTCTTTTTTTTTTTATTGAACTACCCAAACGATTGAGGTATCGTCATATGGTTTATACAATATTTTTCAAGCGTTAAAATTAATTATGATTAGATGACACATTGTTTTGGAGACAATGAGTGTTTATTCGCTACCCATAGTATACGTAATATACATACAACGGGGCACTGTATAGTGAATTTATATACATTTAATAAATTGGAAATGTAATTGTATATAGACAATTTTATAGTTTAGGTACGTTGTAATGGTGAGTAGTTTCAAGTTTCCTTGATTAATATTTTTCGAACAACAAGCAATTACTAAAATCATTAATTTTTGTTTAATATCAAAAATTGTCATTATTTGAACTTAAAATGACTATAAAAGTAAAAAAAATTGCATAATAGGTATGCAATTTAATTAATTTTTAATTTGATATATGAGAAGTTTTTAAGGAAGTTTATACCTATTATTTAACTTTTTGGCTATTCAAAAATGAAAATGTCAAGTTATTTAAAGTTATTTATTTTTCAATTAGGTACCTAGGTACATAAAAAAAACAATCAATTTTGTTAAAAACTGGTACTGCTTAAATAATGCCAATTTTTAGTGGTTTTACAATAGTGTTTTTTTTTTTTATCCTGTATACAAAATATAGACCAGAAGAGGAATGCTTTGCTTTCAACATATAGTACCTTATCTTTTAGCAAATTGGTACTTTAGAAAGGTAATTTTTCGATTTTCTCAATAGTTATTTAATGCCACAGAAAAAACCACCGACAAATTACTAAAAATGGGATTTTAATTTCTAACGCTTTGCTTATCACCATAGAAACGAATAAGAATAAAAATAAAAATAAAGATTTTAGTTATTTTGTTGTAATTTATAAAAGGTATTACTTCAACTTACAGGCTATAATAAAATATACCTAATAACAATATAAAATAATATCTAGACTGACAAACCGTCTTCGCTCAGAATCGTATTTTTCTTATACAATTATATTATATCATTGAATTCAAGTTTAATTTAATCCATCATACATTGACCCACTTGTAACCTAATGTACAGCAGAGCAACATCCACTTACCCACTTTTTTTTAAAGTTAAATCCGTTTATTTTGAAATGTAAGTAGGTACATTACATTTGTTTTTTTTTTTTTTTTGCTTTCCAACATAAAAAGAATTTTAAAAACATTGTAAAATCAACTATTCATCGGCTCCTCTTAGAATATAAAATGCCATTTTTTTCTATAATCGATTCTTATGAAAAACGTAATAATTTAAATAATTTCAAATCGTGTTCAATTTAATGTACATTATCTATAGTAATATAATAACTTATAATTAATAATAATATAAGTTATATAACTATATTGAAGTTATTTAAAATATTTTTATTTTGCAAGTTAGGACAACAAATATATAATTAAATTACACTATAAATTGTGCTCATGAAATATTAATTTATCGCTGGTCTTTCCCACCAGTGTTGGATTGTTGTCTAATATTTCATTCGTATTTATGAAGTCGTTGTATGACAATGTATTTTTATCTCGAATGCAGACAAAATAAATTATGAATTTATGAATAATTACGCAGGCTCTTAATTATATCCTCAACAATGTTTTCTTATACGTTATAGGCCTTTGAAATATTCTTCATTTTTTTTGAAAATGTAGAGATATAACAAAATTGTGATTCTGAATTGGAGCGATTTCAATAAGAATACGTGGCCTAGATAACTGCCATGGTTGTTAAAAATCCATTTCGACTTTGTTACATTGTTGCCTTTTCTCGTGGACGCATAGTATTTTGAGAAAAGTACAAAAAATTCATCCACGATAATAATCGGTATACAGAATGCTTGGTCCTGGTACCTGGCAGTATGAAATTATCTGGTGTCTGAACATTTTTGTTTTGTTAATTTTTGAAAAAACATAATTGTTAATTAATCGTATTGAGTTTATTTAACATAATATTTCGGAATTTTCGGAACAAATGAAAATATTCCTATTTTGCATTCGTGCATGTATATTTATGGTATTTCAGCGCATTAATTTCTTAGTCCAAAACCCTGCTTTTATTGAGCTCTGCACGAAGGGAAAATTATATTTTTTCAAGTGGTTTAATTGCAGAGTACTGTTATAAAACTATGTTTCAAGATAATTATTTAGGTATAATATTGTTACTATGCAGTATGTAGTACAAGTTGTAATATAGGTAGTAGGTTAAAATGTAAATTATTGATAGAACAATATTTTGCCTTCAAAAAAAGTTTAATTTTTATTAATATACTAGTTGTCCAGGCCAAATATTTGCATTTTAATTAAATATATATTTTCACAAAATGTTTATACCATATTTCTTCTAATTATAATTTATAATCTATACTATAAAAGCAAGTCCAGATTTTGTGTCACGGATTGGCTCCGAAACGGCTTGACCGATTTGGTTGATTCTTTTTTTGTTATGTTCGTAATTGTCAGGACCCGGTTGTTATGAAAGAAAATTTCAGGAAAATCTACTGGAAAAGTAGGAAATCTGGATGTCAAAAATACAACAGTGGCGCCTTCTGTACAGGAAAAAATAAACTAAATAATAATATATTTTTGTTTATTGTAAGGTTGCTATTGGTTATGATTATTGAAGTTTTAGTTGTTCATTTTGAAGAATTTTATTAAAATAAAAAGAGAAAATCAAACCTTGGCCGCTCCACAAATGGTGTTAAAAGGAAGCGCTTATCTAGGAACAATAAAGTTGAAGATGAAATTAATATCATGTATGAGAATTAAGTATAAACAAAAAACTTGGTATAACTTTGATAGGTATACTTTAGAGTTAAATTATACACTTACGTACAAACGGCTACAACGTGACATAAGCACCAATGGTGCAAAATTGGTATATCATTTGCACAAAATTAATATTTTATATAAATAGTTATTTAAAAATGTCAATTTTTTTTAAAAATTGTCAATAAATATAATAGAAATTAATAAATTATAGTTTTAATAAATCAGTTGATTTTTTCGATTTTATAAAAATCGAATATATTTTGTTAAAATAGTTCTAATCACAGTTCTAAATGTAATATCTATTAAGCGTGGCACACAGGTATCTAGGATTATTGCGCTTTCATGAGTTTCGATTTTGGCGCTTTCGTACTATATAACTTTTAACAGTTTTACACTACTCTGCATAAGCCATACAGTTCAATTGCTTTTCATATAAAAAAAAATAACGTTGAAAGATGGATAGACAGGATTTGTGGATCCACGAAACAGCCCTACAATTTGCAAACAACTATCCACGGTGGCGTAGCACGAGGGTGACAGCTAGTACTAATATAATATGAAGTAACGAATTGCAACCATTTAGACTGACAAGAAAAATTTCTTTTTTCGTATGCTAAAAAAAATCATGTGTGAGCTACACTTTACCTATATGAGTTGAAAAATTAAGTTGTATACACCCTCCAATTTTCAAGTAATAATCTATTGAAATAACTTTTATTGAAAACGGTAGTCATTTTTTGAGGCTATTGACTTCGGATAAACCAACATCTAATTTTAGTTGTACCTATAACCCGATTTCACCCTCCAAAAAATTTATATTTTATAAGTGTATCTTGGTTTTGGCATACCTACCTCACTTCACAGATAAATTTGTGTAGCTTTGAGAATTAAATCGACCAAGGTGAACAATTTATTTGTGGTGGATTTGTTATAGCACTTGGTATAAATCGAACGTGGAACAAACTACTCTTTAAACATTCCTGATATCTCCAAGAAAAATTCGAATTTTTCACAAAATTGATCAAGTAGTTTTTGAGAACGTACATAATAGCTACAAGTATACATTCAACTCTCATATTTGTTTAAAGATATAATTTCGTTATTCGAAACCATAAGCGTGCGACGATTTGATGGATGCTTTTACCTCATCTGCCAGAGTAACTGATGGCAAACATTTAAAATACTAATTTTTACTAATTATTTCTCCTATAACCAATAACAACCATAAATAAACAACAATTTCTATCGTAAATCTCAAAATACCTGTTTGAGCACCTCTCCGAGTTGAACCAACTGGGTCTAATTGTAAATCTAAACCATTCAAGGATTCACTCAAAAATACACAAAAAATAATCCAGTGCCTTAGGAGGAGTTCAATATGACATACGGACAAATATTTACTTTTGTTTATAATATATATAGGCATTGGGGATTGTTATTATTTTTGGACACCCGATTAATTTCACCAAGGAAAATTATTACACATTAAAACCTACCCCGTGATTCGATGACGACCGATTTATTAGTGAAAACCGTATTAAAATAAGTAGAGATCTTTTCAAGATATGCTAGTATATACAACTATACAAGAGGCAGTGTTTATCTACTATATTATGCATGTTATATACATATAAACCTTCCTCTTGAATTACTCTATCAATTAAAAAGAACCTCATCAAAATCTGTTGCTTAGTTTGAAAGATCTAAGCATACAGACAGAAAAAGGGACTTTGTTTTATACTATGTTACTGGGATAAATCATCATTAACTATTATGTATAACTTTCACGTGAGATCAGTTTTACCCAATTTTTCCGGCACCCTATATAATACTGTAGCTGGCCACAAAATGTCTCGTGTGCAAGAACCCTACAATATGACAGATGTCGAGACGACGGTGTTTCGTTCCTATAGGAAACGAGTGCATAATATTATTATTATATTATAATATTTTCATCGTTCAGCACATAACATACGGTTTCGGAAAATTAGCACATTGCCGAATACGTTTGAGACCTTTATAACATTCTGTACATTATACGAGTTACAACTAGTTGTCTGCAATACATGTCATATTGTAATATAGGTACTCTGTCGGTCGGAAAATGTCGGAAGGAGACGTGGATTCGAGCTGCAGTTGTGACGATTCATCGAGTCGAGTTGAGTTCGAGTCGAGTATGGTCAGCAAAACTCGAGTCGAGTCCGAGTCGACTATGTTCAGCAAAACTAAGCCTTCGCCGTTGTCGTGCACATTGCAAAAGTCGTCTAGTCCTGTGATGCACAATTTCCTCAACTACGATCCGCCAAGCCACACTTCAGATGACACGTAAGGCCCTCACGTCATATCGTCTTATAACCACGGTGCATATTATTATCTTGGATATACCGTGGTTATAAAACTTCATTAAATTTAAACAAAATAAACAGTGCCGTCTAATGTCTGTAACGTTTTAAGCACTGTCGGTGAATCATGCGATTTGGTCCTAGGCACAATCGTTTCCAAATACCTATTTAACGAAAAAACGAAAATTCATTCCACTGAATTTTGCACGACAATGACTTACAACAGCTTTACTTTCTATAAAAACAAATATTGTGTGCAAAGACTTGGGAATTTAAAGTTTTGACGTGGCACGTTAAAAAAGTGTAAATGCATCATGTTCCTGGGCATAATAAACGTAACGATCTTTCAGGTCAGGGTAAATACAGAGTATTGCATTCTCCTATACTGTTATACTGTTATACCTACCTAATAAAGGCTTTTTTTTTAAATTTTTGTCATTGCCTATTGGCGTTGGACCCCAATTTTGAAAAATTACTTGCTTTCCTTGGGTACTGAATGCTTGCATTGCAGTTTCTTACGCATACATCGATACGCATTGCGTATATAACTATATAAGTATAATTTTATATACATTATTTACCATCCCGACTCTTAGGCTGGCGTTTTCAGTGTTATTATTGTAAAATATGTATTATTTTTCCACAGGTACTATTCGTCCTTCACATATTTTGTTAGTCGTTCTGCTGGGCTCGGGTTCTTGTGCCTACCATACGCGTTTAAGCAGGTGGGCGTGATCACCGGCTTGGCGTTGTGCTTTATCGCCGGATTGATGTTTACTCACTCCTTCACTACTTTGGTGAGTGCCCAAATGTTTTCACTAGAACCACCTCAGAAAGCTGCACTTATAAAGTACAAAATGTAGATATTGTGTGACGACATGCGATGTGTGTTTGTGTGTGTGTGTGTGTGTGTGTGTGTGTGTGTGTGTGTGTGTGTGTGTGTATAAGGCAGAACGGTGTGGATAAACCGATTATGTTTCTTTAAGTTTAGTTATCGCATAATCCAAGTAACCAGGTAATAATTCAAATAAGGTATCGTGTAAAATACACACTCGCATATGCTTCATATAAAAGGGCGGAATAAACTATAAGCTCGTTGATCTTATACTCACCTTTTTAAACTTGAAATTCAAACTGTTATACCGTATTAGTACCTACTCGATAATACGGTCGCATAAGTCAAGTACAATTATTTTAATCAAATGCCCGCATAGTGTAGGAACATATTATGGGTACATATACGATTATGTATAAGCACCATTATAATAATGTTATAGCATCGTTTTCATTAAAACTGCCTTGATAATATCTAACTAAAGATGCCTTTTTATGGTTAGTAAATAAATCTATTATATTTATATTTATTAAACGCGTGGAAAGATTTTCATTTTCTCAAACGATCACCTCCAATGTTTTTAGGCATTTATACTTCACATATACAATATAACCGTCATAATGTATAATATACACGTCTGTTTCGATTATAAATTCATCACTGATCGAATTGTTCCGACGGTTTTCTTGAGAAGCCGAATAATGCCTTAAGAATTATGTAATGTAGGTCTTGTGAGGAATGATAGACCTTCTGTCGAAAGTCAAAGTATCTGATTTGAAATGTGTTGTTTTATAGTGCCGTTTTAGATATAAACTATGTCTAATACACAGAGTGCCGACAGTGCCGTATCAGAACTTGATCGAGTACGGTTTGGCATGCGGTCCGATCTGCAGACGGTTTTCAACGTTTTTAAGGTAAACAATATAATAATAATATAACACGAATGTATATTATAATAATGATATCTGTATTATTCACACGCTGAAAGGGATGTATTCGTTGATCAACAGTTTGTAGCATAAATATATTATATATATGTAAAACGTCACACCACGACAGCGAACGAGACGTTATTATTATATCATAATAATATTATATACTGGGTGATTCTTTTATCAAACAACACTCATTATTTCAAAAAGTGTAAATTTTTTTGAAAATATTTTTTTACATAGTTTCAAGTCGCTTATAAAACATCGTTTTTATTAAAAAATTATATTTTTAAATATTTTTTATCCTTATAATTTTTTAAGTTTTTTACTTTTTTGAATAACAACATAACAACAAAAACCCTATGTTGTCATTCAAAAAAGTAAAAAACTTAAAAAATTATAAGGATAAAAAATACTTAAAAATATAATTTTTTAATAAAAACGTTGTTTTATAAGCGACTTGAAACTATGTAAAAAAATATCTTCAAAAAAATGTACACTTTTTGAAATAACGAGTGTTGTTTGATAAAAGAATCACCCAGTAGATAAGATTTTTACAAACTGTCCAGTATCGTTTATACCTGTTACACGTTATTTGTTTATGCACTGAAAGGTTTACGTTTATCGCCACGAACCTGACGTTGAATTTTGGCAAGAGTTGTGTGTACATGAAATTCGTGTCGATGACAATTTACGAGGTACCTATATACTATATAATATGTGTTTATATTGTTACCTTAAGTGTCATAAATTCAGACGTTATTAACTAAAGGATAGTCAAATGATAATAATATAATGCCCGGGTACACGTTAGCCATTATCTATTGCAGGTGACGTATTATATATACTTTAAAACTTTGACTTGATAAGTTAGACAACGCTGTACGCATTGATACATTGGCTTCTCATCTTTTCATTTCCGATTGTCATGCACACAAAGTTAGTTATCTGATTATAGAGAGTATCGAGTCTTGACTTTTAGGTTTTAGAAACTTAGGTTTTGGGTCAAGGATTCCAACATTGCCACTGCAAAATAAAATAAAAATCTAACTAATAGACTGCAAATATAGGCATTTATGGTTCACCTAAGACATATCATTAGTCTACCGTGTATTAATAAATGATGCAGAAATAAATTTCAATATAATAATAATTATATAAGTTGTTTTGAAATTGTTGTAGGTGCCTACTACATATTTTCTAGTACACGGTTAATTATCTGTAAATTATAATGTATCGTAAATATTTTTTTGCAAAAGGTATCTAATTATTTATTACAGTCCTATTCATTTTGGCCCCTTTGGTCATAGTCAATAATAATTATAATGATTAATGACTGATCAATCCGGAACATTATTTAATTTTTTACTTAAATGCTTATGCTATAACACTGTCTGCCTTAGTTTTAGGCATTCACTAAAATGATTATCCAATATAATATCTATGAAAAACAATCGACTAGACTATCTATTTTTATTTAATATCTAAAAATTATAATTTACGATAACATATATAGGATGTAAACAGAAACACTTAACAAAAAAAAAATTAGTTAAACAAAAATTATGAAAATGATATGGATGATAAATAATTTAAGATGTACGCTGTTTATGTCAAGAAATTTCTAAAAAAGAATATTTTGAAAAAAAGTTATGAAAACAAATCTCACCACAGCTCTACGGCTTGGAGGAGTTAACACTAGTTTTATTTACTGTTATTTAATGTTATTCCACTCTATGTAGTACTGTATTTCTGTTGGTAATCAATAAATATTATTATTACGTTTCAAATTAATTTGCTTCAAAATAATATTAATATAACCATAAAAAACGTGTCAAAAAATTGCTTAAAATTGCTTTAAAATGCTAATTATTTTTAAAAGCAAAAAATTCAAAGCAGAAAAAGTCATCTCATTCGTCAGGTGTTTCTGTTCTGTGTGGTATAATTACGTCATAATACTTTGTAACTTTGTAACCCATGAACGTTACTCAAAAACCCAAATTTAACCGGACCCGTCGCTTCTATATGTTGTCTACTCCTGCAGTTGCTCACAGAGATGGGATTTTCAGTGAACTATTTTAATGTTTCTCTGAGCTTCGGCGCCGTGTGCCTGGTGCTTCTGTTATTGCCGAACGGAAATTTTTTGACACCGTTGAATTTCCTCAGCAATATCGCGTGCACCGGTTTGCTGAGCTTATTATTCTACAACATATTCAGGTCGGACCTGAACATCGGCTGCCAGACGCTCATCTGTGGAAATTGGACCGACGTGTTTCAATATTTTGGAATACTTTTGTTCACTTTCATACCTATAGTACAGGTAAATATTAATATTGTATTGGCGAACATATTTTACTCATTAGTCGTTATTATATCTGCACGTATTGAAACGTTTATGAATCATTTGTGAGTTTTCCGCGTGCATTTCTTAGAAGTCGATATTATATTGTAAAGCATCATATGATGTCAGTCAAAAATAGTAATTATTTTAAAAGCTCGTTGGTTATCGCAACACTTATTATTTACCTCCTTAATGTATTAAAAACATGTTATAATTTAATTTCTTTTTCAATTGGCATTTCCTTGGTATACTCTGTATTACATTATTTATTTGTTTGATTGTTTATTACATACCGTTACGCGTAAAAATAATTGTTCTTAAACATATTAAAATTAAAAACTCAAAATAATATTTTCTTGGAAAATAAATTATTTTTTTAAATAAGTATATAAATAAAATAAATGATACTTACCTACTATAATACATATTATAATTTTTACTAATTATTATTATACTAATATTATTATATGGATAACATTTTTTTATTATATATTTATTAATTATTATCTTTAAAAGAAATTCCCCCGAATGTTTATGCTCATATTTAATTTGTGGCGTGGTATTCAAATTGGTTTAGGTGCTTAAAATCGAAGACGGATCGATTGTAAAGAATGATTTTGCCTGGCCAAAACTGTTGAACACGTCGATGGTCATAATTACAAATATGTACATTGCAATCGGACTGTGTGGGTATTTGGACCACCAAGATGTCCCAATATTTGGTATTCCAATATTGAAGTTCATGCCAGCTATCAGGTAACACAAAATATACATGCTATATATAGTTGATAAAATTGATATAATTATTATCACCGAGTGGGGAGATACGTCATCAAGGCGTAGTTTATAAGGGTAAAAACACATCGGTATATAATATCAACACTTTACGAAATTCGACAATCTCACAAACTGTAGCCCATATTGTTGCCATTTATATAGGCAATGACTACATCGATGTAATTATCTGTGTACATAGGTGCCGGACTATTGTCAAAACATGCGTCGCCGTAAATGTTACGATATTTCACCGTGAACTGAATGTCGAGCCCACACTAATGTGGTTGTCGTCCATCAAGGTGGATAAAAGCGATAATAAAATGGGGCGACCACCGTCTACCAGCAAATACTCGCCGGCCATGTTTGCGGGATTGACTGCATTTACGAAGATGTTATTCACCTTTTGTTCGTTTTTTGGTAAGACCATCATGTCAATACGCAGGGCCAAATTTAGGGGAAGGGGAACTGGCTGCAACTGCCCCGGGCGCCAGTATTTTTTTTTGGGGGGGGGGGGGCAACATTTTGTGTTCGGAAATTCATTCCCTTGTGGATTATTAAAACTTTTAAAATTGAAATTATTTCAATAACAGTATTATATGATAAAATATAATATTACAACAAGGCGTAAAATTTTTTTTTGCACCGGGGCGCAAAATATCTAAATGCAGCACTACGACAATATATCACGGTATTATATAGTTTACTTAAAATAATGTCTCCAAGAAAAATACGATCGCCAAAAGTACTGTCGATAAGTGTTGATCATTAACCGGATCTACTCATAATATTACATTGTTCTCTCGAGTAGATAGTGTATTATAAATTTTATAATCAAATCAATAGACCTAATCACTTAATTTTGCTTTAAAAATCATATTGTAGTGTTCCAATATGCGTAGGGTTAGAAAAAAAAGGTATAAAATACCAACGATTCTTTGCAAAAATAACTATTTATTTTTTACGTGGGTATTTGTTGTGTGGGTGGAAAAGGGTTAATAATTAACAAAAATTAATAAATTAAATTTATCATATTAATTATAATAATTAAACAAGGTCGAATTTAACCAAATTTATGATTTCCTTGTTACTACACTAGTATCGTTTTTTAATTAAACGGAGGTGGTAGGTACACCAGCCGTACACACTAACATAGGTATTAGGCACCTACCGCTATAATACGACATTTTTATTAAAATCATTAAGACAAGGGAAAGCTATAGTTTATTTCATATAAAACAAATGCGTACTTATAAAGTTCAAAAGTTAATTTAGAAAAAATAAACGACTTATCCATGAAACACCATATAACTTGGTTCTATTCCGTTCTTTATATGCTTAGGATTATGCATATTCTACATTGATTTTACCTAAATGGATTTTCCATAGACTAGCACATATTATGCATTTTATTATATTGTGTTTTACTATATGACATATTATATTATACTGACTAACAAAACGGGCATTGATTTTTCCGCAGTCGCCATTGCAGTAGCTTCACCGGCCACCAGCGGATTCCAAGTGATGGTGGCCCTCATAGGATACCTTGGTAACGCTTGCAATATGATGATATACCCATACATTGTCGAGATGTGCGTGACGTATGCCCTCCATGGGATATCCACCAGACGATACTTGATTTTCAAGGACCTGTGCTTGGTGCTTTTGGGCTTGTTGGTGTTCGCGTGCGGTACGTCCTTGCTCGTGGTGCGTATAATTCACGGCGGTGACTGAGAACGGTAATAAATACTGATGGTAATAGTTATTCATATATACCTAATGTCCTGGACGATATTTTTAAGTAAACTATATAATAATATGACAGAGCGACATGATGGCCTTACCAAAAAAACGAGCAGAACGTGAATGCCGGACAAGCCCAGAAGGACCAAACACTCATCCTTGAGGATCACGTATGGTCTGTGGTTGACATACCTGCAGGGAATTTATCACGACAATGTACCGGTATATCATGGTATTGAACTCGTTACCCATCACTTAGAAGCCGTGGGTGAAAATGGGACGACGAAAAACATGTCCTTGGCGATCACTTACCCCTCTAATCTCCAAGCCTCTCGATAACAAACAAAATGCCTAACTCGCCTACTCACATAAGAAGTGGTGTCGTTACCTTCTAGCCCAACTAATTTTATCGTGTCGTAGTACCTCCACTGGGGAGGCCTCTGCCTTCTGTCTAATCTGTAGTTGAATTTTTAATTATTCCATAAATGTATTGTTCTTACTGTTTTACGTACTTTGTAACAGATTGAATAAAAACTCTTTTAATAACAGAAAAAAAAAATATTCGAAACCATAAATGCTACAATTTTATGCATGATTTTACTTCATCTGTTATCAATGGTATCTATTTATATACAAACAAATACTAATTTCTACTATACATTTCTTATTATGCGTGGAATCTTCAGAGCAGAACTTCAATTGTGTACATGATTCCTCTTTGGTGTAGGTATATACAATATGTTATGTACACTCGATGATAAAATATGATGACATAGAGATGATGACATCCTTATTAAAAATAATCCTGAATATATAACAAAGAAATTTACTAGGAATTTACAAATAATTTACTAATTTACACCTGAAATTATTAAAATTTTAAATTATACCTAATCACTGCATGATTTGGGAATTTTTTTATAAAGACATATTATAGTGCATGAAAAAACATAATATTCTATTGATTAATAATAATAAGATATGAATATAGCGAACATTGCAAACATTTTTAGAATATTAAAGGGTTTTTTTTTTTTTGGTGATTTAACGAGGTCAATAAAAATAATAATTGTGATGTCAATAATACTGTTATATTAACAACCTACCGACCTACCTACTTAATTTATTATCCACGTACATACAACGTATAGGTACCATATTTATATAAATATTACAAACTGTTGCAGTGTGTGCAAAAAATAAGTTGTAGGTTGTACTGGGGTTGGATTTAGGTCAAATTGGAGGGTCCAAGAGAGAAAAAGTATTTTGGCGTTCGAAACATACAATGTTATTTATAGTTGGTACGTTTAGTTTCACTTCGTTTGTAAGTTATTGCCAGCTTTTATTCGACTCTTGTTCAATGGTTCTAATTATATTGATATTTTTATAGTTCTTTTCAGTTTTTTTTCAATTAAATTGGAAAAATACTACACTCAGTCTCCTTAGACTTGTACTATATATATTTTTTTTTGTTTAATATAAACGCATCATGCAATGCTAAAACTATCGGTAGGTGTAACGCTTCACCTGATATGTTCTAACATTTATGAGTATATAAAATTAGAAAACAGAATCAGCGTTATTGCTTCCGGTTCGTATGACAAGAAGGAACCTACGTTTAAGACTAAATGTTTTATTAAAATAATTCATGTACAACACTTGTTATAATGTTAAATGCATCAACATAGAATATTGTGTATTAAAATAATGTACGTCTTATTTATTTTATACAGCTAATTAATAGTTTGCATGTTTAATATCTACTACGAATTTTATTTATAACATAATTAGTGAGTATAATATACGATTCAAAATGATGATTTACATGAATAGGTATTTGAATTTGAGTAAGACAAATCAATTCCAGCATTTTTAAAGTGGTGTTAATTTTGATATTTATATTATATAATATTGATTTTAATGTTTGGTATAATCAACAGCCGGCAGAGTCTGTATATAATATTCCACCGATTTTGTACAGACTCTGCCGGCTGTTGATTATACCAAACATTAAAATCAATATTATATAATATAAATATCAAAATTAACACCACTTTAAAAATGCTGGAATTGATTTGTCTTACTCAAATTCAAATACCTATTCATGTAAATCATCATTTTGAATCGTATATTATACTCACTAATTATGTTATAAATAAAATTCGTAGTAGATATTAAACATGCAAACTATTAATTAGCTGTATAAAATAAATAAGACGTACATTATTTTAATACACAATATTCTATGTTGATGCATTTAACATTATAACAAGTGTTGTACATGAATTATTTTAATAAAACATTTAGTCTTAAACGTAGGTTTCTTCTTGTCATACGAACCGGAAGCAATAACGCTGATTCTATTTTCTAATTTTATAGACTCGCATTGCCAAAACGTCGTCGCACCTGTATAATAACACTTAGTACTCGTGAAAGGCGACGATAATCGAATGGCATGCGGAAAATAAGAGCTTTTTGTTAGCGATAACATGGAAATAACCGCGGCTAACCACTAGCGAGTAAATCGTATAAAATATTATATTTTTCATAGGCCATAGAGGAATCATTGTTAATTGGACACAGAGAACAATTTTCTGGGCTTAATGGCCACCGTTTTCCATCTTCCATCTCCAAAATGGCATGCAATCGCATACAGTATACAGTATACAGTACCACGATATAAGAAATACGAATCTGGGCACAGATTCCAAACGGTGCTGCGCCTCACCAAATTGTTTTTTTTTGATTTTGCCTCATGTACTCGTGATACATATTATTCATTTACGCTTCACACGGCCTTCAAGTGGTTTGTTAAATTATATTTTATAACCTCAAACGTTGAACACCGACTGTTGAATGTCTAACTGTTCTCGAAAAATGTTTTTGAGGACAATATTGTCCACACCCCACTCGCGCCTTTGTGCTTACCGGACAAGGACCTAAAGATATTGTATCTTTTACATTTGTTGCTTTTGGGACATCGACATTTTCGATTGTCATAGCCAATAATAAATAATATTCTTAGTTAGTACGAAATTGTACAAAGACATTATTGATTTATTGAAAAATACAAATATTTTCATTCAAAACAGAAGTTTTTTATTTCCAAATGTATATGTCACTAGATATCTTATAGTATTTCCAATCTTACGGCATTCAATTTTCTTCAAATTGTATTTATTGTTTTTTAGATTCTGAGTGAAACGATGAATATGTATTGATTTTACAATGATGTGTGTTTTTTTTTTTTTTTTTTTTTTTTTTTTTTTTTTTTTTTTTTTTTTTTGTGTCTGTGTACACGATAAGTAGTCGAAATAATGCTTCGATTTTCGACTTCAGTATCTTTTTCGATTGGAAAGTGAATATCGTTGGTGCATTGGGGAGGTCAAAATTGAAAATTCCCAGTACTTTTCAAAAGCGCCAAGAAAAACAAAAGAAAAATTAAGGAAAAACGGGAATTTTTACGCAAAATCGATTTTTCAGAAAATTGAATTCGGTTTTTGGTGTAACTTTAAAACAAATGACCGTAGATACATGAAATTTTCACTGGTTGTTTATATTTGCATTTTCTATACACGATAACATTTTCAAAATATTTTGATTTATTTTGAACTGTTTAGGGACATTTTCATTTTTCATTTTTTTTTTAGTTTTTTTTCTAGAAATATCAATAAAATTTTATTTGTTGGTTAAAAAAACTTGAAAATGTAATAGAAAGCTCCTAGTATATTGTTTCAAAGGCAGATGAAAAATATTAAAAATCGTTAGTCCCGGTTTTTTTTTATAAGCATTTAAAGTTCAAAAATTGACAAAATATGGAAAAATCACGAAAATTTGCAAATTATTTTGAGTTAAGAATTCGTAAAAATTTTTCTTTTTAAATCTAAGATTTGAAAATGTAATACAAGATTACTCATAAGTTTGTCTACCTTTATCAATAAAAAAATCTCTACCGGATAGTCAAATTAAATTTTTATGAGAGTTTGAAATTCAAATTTTTACAACATTGGATGTTCACTCGATTTCTCATGTAGCGATTTCCTTATTTTGTTGTTATTCATAAACGAATAACTATAGATACATGACAATTTTACTGAATGTTTATATTAGCATTTCCTATACACCATACAATTTTGAAAATATTTTGACTCTTTTTGAGCTGTTTACGGATATTTTCATTTTTCAATTTTTTTAGTTTTTTTTTCTATGAATATCAATAAAGTTTTATCTGTTGGGCCAAAAAGTTTAAAAATTTAATACAAGGCTCCTGATATATTGTTACAATATCAGTTGAAAAATATTAAAAGTTAATAGGCACAATTTTTTTTATAAGCATTTAAACATCGAATTTTGACAGTATTTTTCAAAATCTCGAAAATTATTAATCATCGTAATTAATAAATTATAAAATGTTCAGTTTTTATAGCTAAGGATTGAAAACGTAAAACAAGATTCCACGTAAGTAGTTAATTCTCTTACCGAAAAATCTAAAAAATATACAATCACAGTTTATTTTTATAGTCATTTTATGTTCAAATTTGGACGAAATTATATATTAAAAAACCTAGTTATTTTGTTGTGATTATATAATATTATTCGTGGGTACCTACTTGAAACTTCTAAAGTGTACTATTATATATCTATGATAGTATCAGGGTTTGTTATTGATGTTGATGTATAACGTGTTATAAGTACCTAATGGATATTGTGATAATGTGATATGATTAATTTGGAATTTATTATAGGTCAATTTTTTTTTTAATACCATAGATATGTATATAATTTGTTTTAAACCTAGACTTAAAACTATACCGTCTTCGCTCAGAATCGTTTTTCTTATACAATGATATTGTATCATTGAATTCAAATTTAATAGCATCCATTATACAGTGACCCACTTGTAACCTACTGTACAGCAGAGCGACATCCACTTACCCACCTTTTTTTTTTTTAATAAAGTGTATTTTTCTCAAATTCTATAGGTAATTTCT